AGACGGAGTTTCGCTTTGTTACCCAGGCTGGAGTGCAATGGCACGATCTCGGCTCACCGCAACCTCCGCCTCCTGGGTTCAGGCAATTCTCCTGCCCCGGCCTCCTGAGTCACTGGGATTACAGGCACGCGCCACCATGCCCAGCTAATTTTTTGTATTTTTAGTAGAGACGGGGTTTCACCATGTTGACCAGGATGGTCTCGATCTCTTGACCTCGTGATCCACCGGCCTTGGCCTCCCACAGTGCTGGGATTACAGGCTTGAGCCACCGCGCCCAGCTCTATTTTCTTTTTAACACAGAAGGTGTTGACAATTGTATTTCCATATGCTAGCAATGAACAATTAAAAATGAAGTTTACAAAACAATATCACTGACAAATAATAATTGAGAAATACATTGTGTTCATGGAGAGGAAGGCAATACTGTGAGGGATTTAATGCAATCCCAACCAAAATTTCAGCAGACATTTTTGTAGAAATTAACAACTTGATTGTAAAATTCATTTGAGAATGCCAAGGACCAAAAATAGGTCAAAAAACAGAACCACCTTGGAGGCCTAACACTATCTGATTTCAAGACTTAGTATAAGGCTGCAATAATCAAGGCAATATTCTACTAGCATTGAGATAGACAAATAGACCAAAAGAACAGAATAGAGCAAGCCCAGAAATAGACTCATACACATATGGACAACTGATACCTGACAAAAATGCAAAAGCAATTAAGTGGAGAAAGAACAGTCATTTCAATAAATGGTACAGGAACAATCAGATGTGCATATTCAGAAAATGAACTCAATGTATATCACAGAGCTAGATGTAAAACTTAAAACTATAAAATTTCCAGGAAAAAAAAACACAGGAAAGAAACTATAATCTTGGATCACTGAAAAAGCACAATTTGTAAAAACAATTTGAAATTGTGACTTTTTCAATATTTAAAATTTCTGTTCTTTGGTGGCACAAGAGAGATGGCAGAGTTGAACACTGGGCAGTACTGCAAGATTTTCTTTCATTTGTGTGTGATATTCAGGAATATTTTGCCTTGAACACAGAAGTGGCAGTCTCATGGCTGTCCTGAGATGACAGGAATCAATGAGAGGTTGAAGACATAAACATAAATTTTATCCATGCTCTTTCAAGGACCGTGCTAAAAGAGAATTTGTGGCAGTTATATGTCCTTACTGTTAGAATAATTTTTGCATGAGCCACCATCATCAGTCAGATCACAAGTGTGAAAAACTGGAAATCCCAGCCTCATATGGCTGCCACTCAGAAACTTATTAAAGACATTACTGATTCCAAATCAGGAGAGACAGCAAATAAACAAGGGAAAGGTGCCAAAAATAGTGAAACAGCTGCAAAGGAATTGCACTGATGAAATTAAGGATGTATGTTGATAGGAATAACTCATTGCCACAGACAGAAAGCATTTGCTTTCAAGTTTTCTTACCTAAGGGGAGCAAAAAGAAGGGCAAACCAATGTTCTTTTGCCATAGGAGGAGCATCAGAAAGGTCACAGACTTTGCTCTTCTCTAGCCAGTCTTAAATATGACACTAACAGTCCAGGCACACTGGCTCATGCCTGTAATCCTGACACTTTGGGAGGCCAAAGCAGGAGGGTCACTTGAACTCAGGAGTTTGAGACCACCCTGGGCAACATAGTGAGACCCTGTCATTTTATTTTAAAAAAGGAAAAAAAATGACAAAACAAATTAACAGCTAAGAAATTAAGCTGTCACATTACTTCAGGAGAAGCCTTATCCATGGAGCTTACAGTACTTTGGAAACCTGGATTGTTATATTGGACTGTCCTTTGTAAAATGGTGGAAATATAATCTTGGAATATCTTAATTTTGAATAACAATTTTGTAAATATGTTGAATCTTACTTGGAGTAGTCATTCAAGGATTCGGGCCAGAAATCACAAGGAAAATTCTATATGCATGTTTAAATCGATTTCTTTTACTACAAGTATTTTTTTTAATTCTTAAAAGCTGCTTTTTAACTTATTTCCACTTAGGTCATATTTTACATTATTAGTGTTTTTTTTTTTTTGGGGGGGGGGGGGGGGGGGGTTTGGTGAGACGGAATCTTACTCTATAGCCCAAGCTGGAGTATGGAGGCACAATCTTGGTTCACTGCAACCTCTGCCTCCCAGGTTTAAGTGATCCTCCTGCCTCAGCCTCCTGAGGGACTACAGGCACACACCACCATACCCAGCTAATTTTTTTTTTTTTTTTTTTGTATTTTAGTAGAGATGGGATTTCACCATGTTGCCCAGGGTGGTCTCGAACTCCTGAGCTCAGGCAATCCACCCACCTCAGCCTCCCAAAGTGCTGGGATTATAGGCATGAGCCACAGCACCCTGCCTACATTATCAGCTTTCTGTTAAATTTGAGTGTTTGTGTTTAACTATGTACTGATCTGAAATTATTAACAAATTCTTATAATTAATTAGCTTTCATTAGGTTACGCTGCAGTTAACAACAACAAAGGTGCATTTCCTGGTAAGTAATGTCAGTTGTTGTTGACTAGCTATAGCACTGCTGCTCCATGTCATTTTCACTCCAGGATCAAAGGTGAAGGAAAGTACCCTTTTGGGACACTGTCATTCTTTTGGCAGAGAAAGAAAGAGATGAAAGAAACTTTAGTTTTCTCTTATAAGACACATGTACCACATTTGCTTTAAGCAAGTCATATGGCCACGCCCAGCATCATGGGGGATGGAAAGCATAGCCTTGCTGTCTACCTACATCATGATGTATAAATTGATGTGTATACATGAATTGCAGAAACTCAGAGATCATCTTCATTCAATGTCCTAATTTTTGCATGAAGAATGTTAGGCCTAGGACAGGAAAGTGATTTTCATGGTATCACTTAACTGCACTGAGGCATATTTCTGATAAAGACCCACTTTCAGTAGGATTCATCTTTTTTGTTTGTATGAATGTGTTACAAATGAGAAGAAAGATGGGATAACTCAACTTCATCACAGTCTATGTATAAATACCAAAGCAAGACACTTGCCAAAAGTAAATACATTTTGTCAACAAATTCAGATTAATGCTCTTGACTGAAGTTTTCTATTGACATCCAGAAAAATACTACTATATAGGCAGAACAAAAATTATTTCTATTTATCCTGTGTCTCTTTTCTAATTGTCATGGACATGCATAATGGTTTTAGATTTACTTAAAGGAGTAAACCTGGAATGCTCAAAAATAAATACAATAAAGTAAGATAAAACTTCTGCTTCTTGAAAGAGACACTTTTAACAGAATGGTAAGCTGCCAGCTGGGGGAATTTGAGAGTCACGTGCTTGATAAAGACTTTTACCTCAAATATACAAAGAACTTTCAAAACAGTAATAAGAAAGCAAATAACCAAGCTTAAAAAAAAATCAAAAAAGATATCCAGATGACAAACACATAAAAATATGCTCAAAACGAATAGAGAAAATCAAATTAAAACCATAGATACTAATACCTAATAAAATGGCTAAAATTAAAAAGACTGATCATATCAAGTGTTGGCAAGGGTGTAGAAGAACAGGAAAATTTCATACACTGGTGGTGGGTTATGAAAAAGTAAAGGCCCTTTGAAAAACAGTTTGGCAATTAGACATACCATATGATTGGGTCATTCCATTCCTAAGTATTCGTCCAAGAGAAATGAAAGCATACATTCATGCAAAAGTTTATACACAAATGTTTATGGCATTTAACAGCCATAAACATTTGTGTATAAGTTATGAATAAACTATGATGTTTCCAAATGATGGAATACTATAAAAATTATTGATATGTGCTATAGCAATGATGACTTTTAAAATCACTATGCTGAATGAAATAATCCATACCAAAAAACTACATACTATATGATGCCATTTCTACAAAATTCCAGAAAATGCAAACTACAGTGGCTGCCTGGGGACAGCAAGGGGGATAATGGAGATGTTCGTTTTCTTGATTTTGGTGACAATTTCACAGATGCATACATATGTTAGAATTTATCAAACTGTACAGTTTAAGCATGTGTAATTTATCATGCCAATGATACATCAAAAAACATATTAAAAGTTATTTTTGTTATGATTCTAAGCCAGTAGCATTACATACCTTAATTGAGCACAAAATGGTGCTCTTCCACCCTAATAAACATTTGTGTGTGTGTGTGTGTGTGTGTGTGTGTGTAAACATACAAACATTTATGTATATACAAATTTATATCTAACATAAAATATGTAATAATATAACATTTTTATTTTATTTATATAGGGCATCTATTTTATTTATATATAATATATAAATATAAAATATATAAAATATATAATATACATTTCATTTATATTTATATATAATATATAACTATATAAAATATATATTATATAATGCATATATTATATATAATTATATATTTTATATATTAGATATATATAACATATAAATAAAATAGATGCCCTATATATTTTTATATATATAAATACAAATAAAATAGATGATGCCCTAAAGATCTTCTGACAATAGTACAGTTCCTAGCAGAACAGAAAACTACTCTATTTAATATCTATTATGAGAAAAGGATATTTTGCCTTCTATGAATAATTTCTTAAAAGATTTTCCACTCTAAACCACAAATTAGGTAGCTATATTGGATTAAATTATTTTATGCTTTTACCAAAGGAGACTGTTCAGAGAGTTTAAAATTAAAAAGTGATAGTTTCATTTACTTTTTTAAAATTGATAAAATTCAAGAAGGATTCAGGGAATTTGCCATATTAAGAAAACAAATCTCTAAAGCTATTTGAGCCAGAAGAAAATTTTAGTCTCTTTTAAGACCAACCTCCCATAAAAAAAGACAAATACTTTTCTAAGTAACTTTAATAAATAACGATCCAAAAAAATAGAAAAGAAACATTCTTAATGTAAGTAAATATGAATGGCTGAATATGTATGATAATTGGAGAGAAAAAAAGCCAAGCAACCTCACTCACCTATTCTGTTCTTCCAGTTTAGCCAGGAGTTCTAAGTCGTCTGGACTCAACTGTGATGGGGAAGATGGCGAAAGGGCTGGTGTTGATAATGTGGTAGATGAGGATGTGGTATGTAATGAAGCAGATGGACTTGCCACCTGACTGGCCATCTGACTGACTGTATGCGATACTGTGTTCTTCACCCATGAGAGAGTAGAGCTCAGCTTTTCTGCAACCTTGTCTGTCGCCACCTAAAGACAAAAATAAAAGTTGCATATATTTTAGTTTCACTGTATCTACTACCAATAACTTAATAATTCTCTTAAGATTTACTTAATAACTATCATCATTAGAATATTCTCTTTGAGGAATTAAAGAGATTATAATTAAAAACCTGTTTTAGCAACATTACTCTAATATCCAGCCTTTGCAAACTGTTTGTTTCAGTTCTGCAGCAAGAACAAATCAGAACAGTGTTCCAAACCGAGACCCATCAGGAAGTGACAAAATCAACCGCATGTTTTAAAAATGAAAAGGATCAAAAATATCAAATTAAAGATATACTGTCTAATGAAATTTTTGTTGTATTAAAAATACATCCTACATGTATATATGTATACGGGTATATTGAGTCAGGATGTAAAACGTATTCTTTCTTGGGGTTTTAGTCAAAAACATGTGCAAGTCAAGGAATTAAAATATGTCCATTAGATGATTAGCGAAATCCTGTAACATGACTAACAATTCAACAAAAACATAAATAAAATGTAATGAGGCCCTTGATCGATCTCTCTTCAAATCACTAAAGAGTGTTGTTATAAAAGAATACTAGCACCATAGGAAGAAAATTATGATAAATGGCTGGGTTAACAGAATGACAGAGGTTCAAGGTAGAATTTCTAGTAGCTGGTTTATTCAGAAACAGAATGGGATGCCTAGAAAGAGTAGTACATTCCCTACTAATAGCTACCTTAATGTGGTGGCAATTGTAAAAGCCAAATGTCAAGAGTTGGTTAAGTTTCTGTTTTAGGTAGCTAACCATAAAGGAAAAAAGCTTTTAAGATTCCTCTCTTCTCTAAGATTCAATTAATTATACATGTGCTCGCATATTTGTCATAAACCATGCCAATCTCCTAAGCAGATACGTATACAACAAATTCAGCTGAAAAAGGAAACGTACATATTGTTCAAAGCTAACAGTGGTTTATACATGGCAATCCATATGAACATGCGTGTACACACACAAATTAAAACACCAACACATACACAGAAAAATCCTGTCCAGACTCCTGGAAGTAGGTACTAACTACTCTCCTCATTGGTTACCCAAGCATTTCCTCCTCCCCTCAATATATACATGGCTCTTTCTCTGTCCCTACTTCCTCCACCTCAATTTAGCAGGAAAATTCCATGTACAGAAAGGATAAAATGGAAAAGCAATTCTAAGGACATAGTTAAGCCACTTAATCTGAGGATAGAGTATCTAGAAGGACAAAGATTCTATTACAAGTGCTGAATAGGGGCAAGAGTTTCATTAAACTCAAGATACTTCTCATTTTCTTTTCATTTGCCAATAATTTTCCCCTCTTAGAACTTACTTCCTTTGGGAATATTATAGAAAGTACCAGTGGGCTCTTACCATTGAGAGAAGAACCCCAAAAAAGAAAAGTCAAATGGTGTAAGAAACCTAAGAAAGAGAAACATGAGATGATCGTTTATGCCTGCTTCCAGGCAAAAGAAGTCCTTCCTGACAACTCACAGATGAGTATAGCTCATCAGGGCAAAAGGCCTTACAGGAATTAAATAATAATTTAGCCAAAACTTTATTTGTGCCAAGAAATGGCAGAAGCCATAGTAGGCACCAAGACAGTCCATTGTGTGATTTGTTATCCTACTGATTTTAGGATAACAACTACAAACTCAATTGTGAAAATGACACAAATTTGCATCCCCAAAGCACACTCTAAGATTTAAAAAGAGAAAAACTAAAGTATAAAATTTGTTTAAAAAATGGTATACTTTACTAATACTGGCCATTAATTTCAAATATACTTACAATTTTCAAGAATTAATGCTTTACGTTTTCATATTAAATTCCCCTATTAATTGCCGAAAAAGCAAAAGACATCTATTAATTGCTTCATTAAAACAAATTTATATCATACCCCTTCCGCACACTATAGCAACAGACTTTCATTTAAAAATGTTAGAATAATGAAGAGCACAATTCTGACATACTTTCAACCTCACTGAAATGGAATTCAGCCTATAACTTCTAAGGCTCAAACAACTCATCTTCAAATTTTAAGTTCTTAAATATAGCTAGAGTATTTAATTGCAGTTGCAATTTAATAAAGTTTAGTATTTATAGATTCTAGAAACGCCTCAGGACTAAATTATTTTTTCAGGTATCATCATGTACTATTTTTCCTTTAACTCCACCCTGCCACCTTTGAATCTCTTTTCCTCAACCTAGGGTAAATTGAGGTCACATAAATAAATATAAATAAATCTGACAATGTAACTATGTCACAAAGTTCCTGTCTACCTCATAGAGGTGTTACGCATTTATTTTAAAAAGTGAACATACTTTCAAAATGCTAAAACCATTATTAAAAAGGCTTAGCAATCACACACAAAAGGCCACATATTGTACAATTCCATTTACATAAAATTTCCAGAATAGGCAAATCCAGAAACAGAAAGTAGATTAGTAATTTCCAGGACCTGGGAAAAGGAATGGGAACTGACTACGAATAAGTACAAGATTTCTTTACGGGGTGATGAAAAATATTCTGGGATTGGTCAGCGGTAATGGTTGCACAACCTTGTGAATACAATAAATGCTAATGAATTATACACTTTAAAAGGGGCAAATTTTATGGTATATAAATTATCTCTCAAATTTTTAACTATAGTAAAAGCTTTATATACTACTACAATATTTGAATACGATCTCCCATGAGAAAGTCATTATAATATCGCTTTATATTTTATTGAAAGGATGCTCATAACTTCCCTAAAATAGATCTATTTTTAAAGATTCCCATTTTAGATCAAAACTCATGAGGGAGAAAAGGCCATGGCAATGGTTAATTACTTCCTGAATCATACTGTGAAACTGAATCACATTTCTAGAGTATAATATTCTCCTTTGGGTAAAGATACTATTGTGGCTAAAGAGGAACTATAAGTAAGGGTACCTGTGCTGTCACTGAGAGTCAAAAACCCAATAGATCTTTAAACGTCAAAAGTTAAATTCCTTTAAAAAAAAAAAAAAAAAAGATGCAGCACAACAGTACACATTTCATAATATCAAGACTTCAGCTATACACAGATGTCACAAAGATTTACCAATCATTTTGTAGTTCTATCTTTTTACCCTCCCTTAGAGCCAGAGGATACTTCCTATCACTTTTTCATATCTGTTTACTGAATGAACACATAAGATGATTTTAAAATATCGTTACCATTAGTGTACACACAGCTTGCTTATATAAACAGTTCACCATCTAGTATCATTTTATAATCTTCCTTCAAAAAGTACAGGAACCAGAGACAAGTAGCTTTTAACACAGAAGCTCAAACACTTTCAAGTGCTATTGAGGACTAAGAGACTTTTCCACCACCACACCACAATGCAAAACTGCTTTATTTTCTGTCTCTTATTAGCTTCTCCAAAGTATCTGCTGTTTACTCCCGCCCCTCTAATCTGCGTTACACTCACCTTTCTCTCTGCTTTTTCTTTTCTTTTCTGGTTTTTTGACTCTTGACAATTTTCTTACACTTTTTGATTCTCACAAAGCTGGCCTTTATGAGGGACTGCCAATCAGACATCTCATGTTCCTTCCTTGAGATGAGTGGACCAAAAATACACAGGTCAAGATTCGGTTTTATTTTTTATTGGTCTCACTTCTACTATGTCAGATATACACGTGTATATGTGTGTGTGTGTGTGTGTAAATATACGTATAAAATAAACTAATATTTACTGAGTATCCTGTGTAAGTCACTATGCAAAGCATGGAGACTGCTATAATTAAAGATAGTCCCTGGCTGGGCACGGTGGTTCACGCCTGTAATTCCAGCACTTTGGGAGTCCAAGGCGGGTGGATCATGAGGTCAAGAGATCGAGACCATCCTGACCAACACGGTGAAACCCTGTCTCTACCAAAAAATACAAAAATTAGCTGGGCATGGTGGTGCATGTCTGTAGTCCCAGCTACATGAGAGGATGAGGCAGGAGAATTGCTTGAACCCGGGAGGCGGAAGTTGCAGTGAGCCTAGATCATACCACTGCACTCCAGCCTGGCAACATAGGGAGACTCCATCTCAAAAAAATAAATAAAAAATAAAAAAGATAGTCCCTTACCCTGTCATTATTCCTGTATTTCATATAGTCATATGGAAAAGCATCTAAAATAGTATCTCTATCACTCCCTTTAGTATGCTTGTTAATTGTATAGCAGTCTTGGCCTTAGTACTGAAAGCCAGTATATAACAGTTTCCACTTGGTATGGTTTTTAGGAACATTGATGTGAAATTTTGACCAGCTATCTGTGCTACCTAAACTCTACATTCCATGCAACTCCCACCGTATGGTGCCACAGAGGTTTAGAAACAATTTTCAAAGAGGAGAAAGGTGAATTTATGAGCAAACACTTTTTTAGCATTTAAATCACACCAGGTACTATTCTAAACACTTTATATGTATTAAATCTATTTAATCATTAAAATGCTATAAAGTAGGTATTACTATTTTCCTCATTTCACAAATGAAGAAATGATGGCACAAAAATGCTAAACAACTTACATAATGTCACAAAGCTAAAAAGAGTCAAGCATAGGCAGTCTTGTTTGAAATTCTTTGCTCTTAGCCATCATCAACAATGAGCAAGACCAAAGGTTGGCAATGGATGTGGTCACTAATGACTTCATTTCACCAAGAGGAGGCAGAAACCAGATTATAGTAAACTGAGGATTATCTGAGAGATAAAGATATAGGAGCTGGAAAATATTCCCATTCCTGCCACAATGACCTTTATTCTTGAGATTTCTTGAATCAGGCTAATTTCTAAAGGTTGGAGATTCCAGAAAGATGGTCAGGATATTATTACATAACAAATCCTACTTTAGAAAAAGGCCTTCAAACAGACAGTATATTCATTTGATTTTTATTTTAAAAAGAAAAAAAAAACTGGTACAATCCAGACAACTGGGCTGATGGGGTTATTCTTTGTCATTGTGGGGT